AACATTTTTTAAATAAATGTTGCTAATGTCACTTTTTACAACGTTTTATAAATATTGCGAAAAGTTTAAGTTTTTGCAGTGTTTTTTGAACGTTGTTGAAATCTGGCTCTGTAGTAACATTTAGGGCCTATTGTTGAAACTCTCAATATAAAACTTTTTGCAACGTTTTGTAATTGTTGCTTAATTTTTCGTAATGTTTAAAAATGTTGTCAAAAGTGATCTTTTCACAACAGTCAATAAACGTTGCGAAAAGTTCACTTTTGGCAATGTTTTTTTAACGTTGTAAAAAGATTCTTTTTGCAACGTTTTTTAAAAAAACGTTGCGAAAAATTTTGTTTTTTTTCCCAAATTAAATTATATATGAGCTAGAAACCAAAAATAACCCAAACTTAAAAAACGTTGCGAAAAATTGTGCTTTTTTTTTTTTCCAAAATTAAATTATATACGAGCTAGAAACCAAAAATAACCCAACTAATTCACTCCTCCCTCCATTCATTCCTCTCCAACAAAATCAAGGATCTTTGATTTATTGAGCTATTCTTTCTAGTTTGGCCGATCGCTGCCAGCACAGGAGGATTCCAAAAAGGAAGAGATCGCCGCCGACACCGAAGGATGCCAAGAAGTAAGAAAAGTAGTGGTCAAAGAATAAAAAAAAAGAAGTTTTCCAGTCGGTTGCAAAATTCCTCGTTGAGCTTTCGAAATCGCAGGATGTTGTCGCTGGAGATGGGACAAACACTGTTTTTGTTATAGCGGGCGCTCGTTTGAAGGCATCTCTTACTCTTTTATCTCATGGCATTCACCCAACGGTTGTTTCAGATGCCCTCCACAAGGCTTGGATTAATGCTGTTGAGATTTTAACGACTATGGCGATTCTTGTGGAGTTATCGCATCATGATTCACTGGTTAAGTCAGCCTCTACTTCTTTGGATTCCAAGGTTGTCTCAATACTCTTATCTTTTAGCCCCCATTAGCTCTTGATGTTGTGCTTTCTGTAGTGGACCCTACTATTGGAAATAAATGAAAATCTGATCA